ACTGAGCGCTTCCCACTGCACACTGTGGAGGACGAACAGGTAGCCTGCAGCCTTAAACACTGAAGGTGTTCTTCCCTCCCTCTCTCGCTCTCTCTCTTCACTTCATTTATTCGGACAGTACACACTAGCTGTGTTACATTACTGTAAAGACTGAAACACGTCCATTTTTGTCCTAACAGGTACAATCCACACCAATGCTCTCCCTCCGCCTTCCCCGGGGTAATTATCTGACCTCCAGGTAAACATGTGCAGGGGTGTGTCCAGAGATTGGCGGCATCAGGTGGTACAGGCCCAAACTTATTCTACTGCTTTTTTTGTTTTTGTTTTAATGAGTTCCAGTGTTTGACATATTCTTTAATGTGTATTTAAAAAGGGATGACGCTGCATCCTGTGACAGGTGAATACACCTGCCAGGACATGTTTTAGTATTATACTGTCATGCAGCTTGTTTTACACTATAGATTTAAAGCATGCATATTATTTAATAATACAAGTTGCATGTCCTTCTTACACAATATCAGTCTTACTTTAACTGTTTCACTTAACTTCAATTTTACTTTCCTTGTTTGTTTTTTTATCACTGTTGTAAATACATAAATTCCTGCACTATCTCATAGTATGAGGTCCTGTGTGTGGCACTTTTATTTTAACCTTGTTGTTTATTGTTGTGTATTGTAGACTGTTCTATTTTTACTCTTTATCATGCTACTGTAACACAAAACTTTCCCCTGTGGGATCAAAGTATCTAACTTACTATCTATTATACTACAACTGCAGAATAACAATATTGATAAGACGGTGTGTCAGCTGTTATAAAGTCTCAGTAACGCCTCCTGAGGCTGGTTATATTGGAAAATTTGACCAGACTGACAAAAACTAAGGATGTTTCCTGTTTATTTTCATTTGTACTTTTAAGGAAGTTTAAATTTAAAGAAAAGTTTCACACATACTTTTAAGTTCTGTTTTAGTTCACTGTAATAAGATAGTACCACACCCCCTGAAATATAATTACCTGGTTTTAATGTGCATGTGCTTTATTTAGTACAACCCCAGTTCCTGAAAAACGTTGTGAGTCACTGTGTAAAATGTACATTAAAAACAGAATGTAATGTTCTATAAATCTCTTAAACCCATATTTTATTGACAATAGAACATACTAAATGTTGAAACCGAGAAAGCAGCACATCTCATAAAAGTTGGGACAGCGCCATGTTTCCCATCGTGTAGCATCCCCTCTTTTTTGAACTACAGTCTGCAAAAATATGGGAACTGAGGAGAACAGCTGAAGGACTTTTTGGGAGATGAATGTTGTCTCATTCTTGTAGAGGACCATAGCTGCTCAACAGTCCTGGTTCAGCTTTGTCGCATGTTTCATGTCATGATCCTTCAAATGTTCACAGCTGTTCAAAGCTCTGAACTGCAGACAGGTCAGTTCAGCACCCAGACTCTTCTACTATGAAGCCATGCTGCTAGAAGAGCTGCAGTATTTGATTAAGCATTGTCTTATTGAAATATGCGTCTGGATCCAAATGTATGTTCCTCTAAAAGCTCTGCATACCTTTTAGCATTGGTGGTACCTTTCTATCATCTTTGAATGATAGAGCTTTAATCTGCATTTGTGAACAGCGTAATGAACTGTTTTCACGGACAGTGGTTTGTGCAAGTGTTTATGGCTGTTTTGATGCAGTGCAGTGCTCCATGAGGCATCCAATAGTGATTCTCAGCCCTCCTTATGCACAGTTTTCTCCAGGTTATGTTAAAAATATTATGTAGTGTAGCTGATTAGATATTGTACTTCATACCATTTACTTTATAGCTTTAATTTAATTGCATTATTTAAAATTACCTGGCAGTAAAGAAGTAATCAAAGTCATGTCCTGTTGCAACATTAAATTGATACTCTGTGCATTCAGTTATGAAATGTAGATGATTCTGCACAATATGTACTTTAAGTATAAAATTAGTTGCTTTGAGTATACTATCCTGCTATTAAGTAGCACAATAGAGTAAAAAATATCAGGAGACAGTCAATGAAAGTTAGAAAGAAATCCTGTGAAATATTAATTTTACTATTAGAATTTACGTTTTAGTTTTTTAGCTCATTACATGGATTTTTTGATTGCTGGTTGAACACTAGGTGCAAAACAAGCAATAAAATCTTCCAGTGTGCTGTATTTTAATTTGTAACTTTGTAACTGAGACAAAAGATTTGCATTTCTCAAATCCATAAAATCCTTCAAGCGCTTCAGTTTTAGTTCTTCAACCCTGGTGTGAGGAGTTTGCAGAGTGAATGAATCTCTGGGGTATGTAGTCAAGTGAGGTTAAAGGGCTTTTCATGCAATGATGCTTCCCCCTGCTGGATCATTTGTAAAGTAGTGACCAGAGTCAACAGAGCTGCTCGCTTTTAACCTTTCTTTAACCTGTCTTTCTATTGGATACAAAAATACTTACAAAGCTGCACAGCTATCCTCCATAACTTTCTTCTATTCCTGGACACTATCCTGTGTAACGCTGTGTGAGACTGTTACATCATTTCAAAGTCGGTTTATTGTCTTGTAAGTGTATATGTCACGTAATGTACTTGAAAATAACGATGGGAAAGCCGTACAAACTTCAAGCAGTTATTTCCTGCACCCAGTCTCTTTCCTGAATCTTTTACCTGCCACAGAAATTGATTTATGTTCAGGAAAGATGGTGAATCTCGGTGAACTTCGATAAGAACCGACAGCGGTTTTAGACCCTGAAACTAAGGAAGCAACAACATGAAAACCAGATTACCAGAAGTACTAAAACATATTACTGAGGACACTAATAGACTATGAGAGGACGGACATACAGAAATATAAGAGGTCCAGGACCTTGACAGCATCCACGCTGAACGTAAATGAGCTGGATTACCCCCAAGATGTAACCGTGAGGATGCAAGGAGCAGAAATACTGAAGGTGAACAAGTTTAAGTACCTGGGGTCAACCATCCAAAGCAACGGGCGATGCACAGGAGAGGTGAAGAAGAGAGTGCAGGCAGGGTGGAGTGGGTGGAAAGGAGTGAAAGGGAAAGTTTGCAACATGGTAGGGAGACCTGCCACAATGTATGGTTTGGAGTCAGTGGCAGGAGGCGTAGATATGGAGAACATGCAGACGATTGGTATGACAGAGGCGAATGCTATGGACAGGGTGGCAGATAAAGCCAAAGCTGACAACACTTCAATAAAAACCGAGACTCCGATCGATGCACGAGAAGAAGAAGCACACTTTTTTTCTTTTTATAATCTGTACCTACCTTCTCTTGTATCTTCAGTAACAATGCCGAAAATGTTATACCTTCAGATTTCCCCGTTAGAAAAAGCCAATTAATTGCTTCCATTTAACACTACAACTCAACCAGTATTTTTTGACTGAATAATAAAGCCTATCTATGAAAAGCCTTCAGCTGATCCAACATGCTGCAGCTAGAGTCCTGACAGGGATTAGGAAGAGAGAACATATTTCTCCCATACCGGCTTCTCTTCACTGGTTCCCTGTTAAATCCAGAATCCAATCTAAAATCCTGCTTCTCACACACAAGTTCTTGAACAATCAGTCCCCATCTTATCTTAATTACCTTATAGTACCATATCACCCCATTAGAGCACTTCACTCTCGCATTGCAGGCTTACTTGTTGTTCCTAGAGTATTTAAAAGTAGAATGGGAGGCAGAGCCTTCAGTTTTCAGGCCCCTCTTCTATAGAACCAGCTTCCAGTTTGGATTCAGAAGACAGACACTATCTCTACTTTTAAGATCAGGCTTAACACTTTCCTTATATAGCAATCCTAATTAACTTGCTTGATCACGTAACATATAAATTAACACATTAGTACACTGTGCAGATAATAACAGACACAATTACATAGACTTTATCAGAAAAACATTTTACCTTAACAAAGATATATAATTTGAGTAAAATGAAGATAAACAATTAACAGAATCTGAACAATTCACCTCATTCAGTCTTTTGAGTGTACCATGGGTTTCATAACATACTTTCAGACATGTGGCTTAGGTACAAGGTGATATAGAGATTAAAAAGCGTTTTTTCTTTCTCTGTCTCTCTCTCATGCTCACTTTCTTTTTGTCTTGTCCCACTTTCCAGCACATGCTGCTCCTTTTTCTCCAAACTTCTAACAAAGAAAATGTTGTAGTCATTTTAGTTTCCTTCAAAAAGTGTTAACTCAGTTAAAGGTTTTCATGAAGTTAGCACTGTTGCCTCACAGCAAAAAAAGGTCCTGAGTTCGACTCTACCATCAGGCTGGAGTCCTTTCTGTGTGGAGTTGCATGTTCTCCCTGTGTTTGCGTGGGTTCTCTCTGGGTACTCCAGCTTCCTTCCACAGTCCAATGGCATTCAGTTGGTGGGGTTAAGTTGACTGGTGATTCTAAATTGCTCATAGGTGTGAATGTGAGCATGAATGGTTGTTGGATTCTCTGTGTTAGCCCTGCAACAGACTGGCGATGTCTCCAAGATGTACCCTGCCTCTCACCCTGTGGTAGCTGGGATAGCCTCCTGTCCCCCATTCCCCAGCTCAACTCTGACAAGGACAATAACTGAATAAACTAAATAAACTGCACAGATGGATAAAACCTGTCATACATTGCATTAGATATATATATATATATATATACAATAATCATCTTTTATTGAATTGATTTAAAAAAAACAACAGTTTAGATGTGTTTTTCTATTAGAAAAAGTTCATCTGATGATTTTCAAATCACGTAAAGGAATGAAAAAATAAAGGAGGTTAAAGATTTTAAGTTTTTAGGAATAATTTTAGATTTACATCTCAAATTTGATAAGCATGTAAAGAAGATTTCAAAGATGGTTAAGGTTAATCTGACTTGTCTTAAGTTAACTCGGCATTACATAGCCACTTCAGCACCTCAGTTATTTATGCATTTGTTAAGGGTTCAAATATTGAGGAGGGATACAGGAGGAAATCCAAATAACAACACTGATCCGGCCGGGTGGAGTCAAACGATGAGTTTAATGAACACACGTGTGGCAGATGAACACTGTACGCAGACAGCATCGATCTCACTCGAACAATACACAATCAGTTGTTTTTAATACCTTCAGGGAAATTTATGACGCCCCCTCATGCGTCATCACATGCATAAGTTTCAAAACCACAATGACTTTTAACACAGTTTGAAAAAGCAACATCGCCTCGTCTCCATGCCAGGTGTCTTCCTGTCGCTGCCGGACGCTCGCTTATCGTCTGGAACATCAGCAGCAGTTCTGCAACAAACTGTTCTTTTGTAGGCACAATTTTGCAGTCACAAGCAAAATATGATTAACCTCTCACCTAAAAATGAGTCTATCTACTGTGTGTGTGTGGGTGTGTATGTGTCAACCTGAAATGCACTCAGTTTCACCTCTCACCTCACCAGCTAAACCTTATAACCTTTCCACCAGACCAGAGGCTCATCCTTCTGTGTAATAACCTAACTGAAACTATATCTGTAATATGTTGAATAAATGTTTTAATCAAGAACCTCTACTAAAAGCTTAATCAAAATATATAAATGAATAAAAGACAATAATGAATAGCCTGGTTAGTCAAATAGCATCCTCCCAACAGCTCCTCAAAGTAACTTACACTTAGACTCTGCTTTAGTTTCACTTTCACAAGGACGCTCTGCAAAAGCCTGCGCTTCCTGTCTACTTTGGCACAGAGTGTACTCCGAGTTAGGCCTTTCTTTTATAATGCAATGTAATCTACATATAAACATTTAAGATTATGAAAAGCATTCCAAAGCATTTAAGATTATCGATTTAACTCAACAGTTTAAAGTGGTTATAACTGCACCTGTAATAAAGGCTAATTGGGTGCCAATATGTTTAAACATCTGAATACAATATCAATGCTGTAGATTATGTTATTAATGCAATGATAATGATGATGACCATGAACAATAGCAGTAAAGTATTTCTCTGATCTCCACACATTCCATGATATTCTCTCATTTTTCATATTTTATGACAGTTTGGACTCAAGCAGCACCATCTACAGTTCAGCATCCTTATATAATCAATCTTTGAAAATAATGGATAAAAAATCTGTTTGGTGGAATCATTGTCACATTTTAAAGAAATATAATTGACTTCGTTTAGGAGCTTCAATCACTTGTGTTGTCTTAAATTACCCTTCAAGTGTATAAATAGGCTGGTCCCAGAGTGTCTTAATAGATGCATCCAAAGACAAGATAGTAATCGCATTACTAGGAGTATAGTGAATGGCAACCGCAAAATATCATATCGCAGATCTAAATTTGGACAATCAGCGTTTTCCATAAAGGCTTGCCATCTGTGGAACACACTTCCATCTGATATCAAATTGATTACAGATATTAGTTCCTTTACATTGAAGGTTAAAAGTTAGTTAAAGGGAAATCAGAGCTGTAGTGATTTCAATTAATCTTTTTTTTGTGGGGTTTGTTTGTTTGTTTTTACATTGTCTGTTAATTGTAGCTGTATTCATGGTGTATTTTGGTTTCATGAAAATGTATGTTTTAACTCTGTGTATTGTGAATGTAAGCCCAACAAGGGACAATTGTTGAAAATTAGCTATAGCTGTAATGTTATGTGCAGCACATCAGTTTTATGTTTTATACTTGGACTATGTTAAACTGCACTGTCTGTTTTAAATAAAGAATTATTATTATATCACTAAGTACACTAAGATATTATGAGAGGATGGATATACAGAACTATAAGCTGACTGCTGCAGTACATACATAGAGGAACAGTGTTAAGTTGAACTCTTATAGCGTTACTTTGATGACACAACATTTAAAATTGGATGAGTTTAGGCATTTCAGTTTGTGATTACAAAGGTTTAAAATCCTCTGCTCCCGTCTCACTGACTTAATACAAACCACCATCACTCAGTCTGCTGTCTTTTCTTATCTTCTGTCCACAAAGTGCAAATTTAGTTGTTTGTCTGGTATCAGAACTGTGCGGCTGATGGATCTCAGCTCTCCCAGTGTGGGGTCGGGTTTGATTTCAAACTGCCTGATAAGCTGTGGAAAAAAAAATAGAGTTAGTGAGTTGTCTGAAACGTGGATGACAATTGATTTGAATATAGACAAATGTATTATCCCACACAATCACAAACAACAGAGATGCATAAGACACGTATATACCCTTCAGCATTAATGAAGCCGTTCCAGATTTCCGTCAGATTTTTTCCCACTTCCCATGAGACCCCTCCCCCCCCAAACCCCTGGACTTATTGTTGGACACACCTGGGTCACATTTAAAAAAAAATCCAGGAGTTTCCCTGGGATGTTCAGCAGTTTTTTCTCCTTCTTGTCACTTACTTGAAACAGGAGGAGATACATTTCGAGCTCAGCAATCCTGCGACCGACACAGCCTCTTACTCCAAAGCCAAACGGGATGGAGCCGAAGGGGTTTGGCCTCTCACGGCCGTCTCGGAGCCATCGCTCTGGCTTAAATGTGAACGAGTCGGGGAATGTGTCCTCATCATGGCTGATGGCATAGTGACAAAAGGTGAACGGCGTCTGTAAAGCAATCAACAACTGGAAGTCAACACAATATGGAATATTGATCCTCACTTATAACACAATAGCCTTTTTATATCCAGGCATCATAAATATGTCTTATTAAGTTAATACAAAAAGCACTCACAAACAATCTAACAATGGTTAAAAGCAGACCTACTTTTTTTGGGAACTCATATCCACCAATAGAAACATTCTTTTCTGCAATGATCCTCGCATTCATAGAAACAACAGGATACATCCTGCAAGACAAGTTATTTTTTGTTTGCATGTTACTTTAGGCTGGTTCATAGTCTGGCTTCTTCTTAAGCAGGTGAATAAGGATGTTGACTGATGAATTAGTCTACATTTAACTTGTTAAGAGCCATGAGTTCAAATAAAACCCATTTTGGCTGCTAAATAGACAAACTTCAGGAAACTCGAAGCTTATTTTCACTTTCAAAGATTTCCAGTTTGGCTGTTACAAATATGTGAAAACTATCTACTAAAAACATGTTTGTTTCCTGCATTAATCGCTTCAGTTAAAGCTAAATGGCAGCAGTCTCACCTCAGCGTCTCTTTGATAACTGCCTTTAAATATGGCATGCCAGTGATGTCAGCAGCGGTGGGGATCCGGTCTAATGGTACCATAGTGGACACTTCTTTATAGAGTCTTTCCTGGATATCAGGGTTCTTGGAAAGCTCGTGCAAAGCCCACGTGAGAGTGTTGGAGGTCTTGGGAGTTTAAAAAATGTGAAAGTAAACTTTTGAAGACATATATGCTGAGCCTTGCATACATGTACATGCAAAAGAAAAGTGAATACACTGAGTGGTGAGCTTTGATGATTAGAGCCGTGCAGAGTGCCTTTTTACATGTGATGTTTTATTACTAGTATTGGTATTCCATTTACCGTGTCCACTCCAGCTAAGAGGAGCTCAGTGACGCTGCCATACACATCTTTAGTGCTCATCTGCGTGTTTGAGAGTAGGTATGTCAGGTATTCACCCTCCACATCCTGCTTGTTGTCAACCCGCTGCTGAATCATCTCCAACTTCTTGTCAATCAATTTTTTGGCTAGAACAGGTGCATAAAAATGGTGCAAAAAAAAAAAAAAATAGTTGGAACACTGTATAATATCAGTCAAAACAGAATGCAGTCATTTACTCATAAACCCATATTTTACTAGCAACAGGACATAGGATGAAATATACTGTATCAACTGAGACAATTTATTATTTCATGAAACATATTAGCTCGGGTTCAATTTGATGGAAACAACATATCTTTAAAACTTAGTGACAGTTGCACCAAACTGGCAACAGTTCAGTACCATCAGTACCATAACTGGTACTTTTATATCTTTTATATCCATAACTGGATATAAAAAAAGAGCATCTTATAGAGGCAGTGTTTCTCAGAGGTAAAGATAGATTATTCATCAATCTGCAACAAAAGACCATAATCTAGAAATGCTGCCATCTACTCTGGGACAAAGCTTATTTAAAATAGAGGCAAAGTGGAAAACCGATCTGTTTGTTTGTTTCACTTTATTAAAGACACACATGGGCCCATAAAAAATCAATTCCATAGCGTTACACAGTTTTATAAAGGCTAAAATGTCAATGGTTCCATAATTTTGAATAAAACCCAACTGAACTTAGTGCAGGGTCAGTCAGAGATACAGTTATATGGGTCCGCTGCCACTGGCCAGCGAGCCTTGAAGCTACAAATGCTGGCCTAGGACCACCTGGTGGCATGATGGGAACACCCACGAGGACAGCCATGGCTGGTAATAACGGACCGACTGGTCCTGGCCCCACGAAGGCCACCGACTAACCCTTTTTCATCTGGGTTTTCTCCACAGGTCCCGGCCGTTACGGACACCATGCCCAGCTCACCTAGGGCTGCATAGGCATTGGGGCAGGAATGCTGGAGATGTGGGCAACCGAGGTATCTCCATTGGGACTGCCCGTTAATGGAGGTGGGACAGGTGCTACGTATTGCCAGCCCTCCGATGCCCTACCCTGATTCAGGAGAGACATACCGTTTACCGGTAAGGTGCCCAGGGGGTATATGCCAGGCTTTAGTGAACTCGGGCTGTATGCAGACCCTGGTCCACCAAACCCTGCTGGAGGCTGAGTGGGTGGAGGTGAAGTGTGTGCACGGGGACATTCATAAATATCCCTCAGTGCAAATAGAAATTAGATATCAGGAAATCTGGAATCTGGTCCGGCGGACGGAGCAGTGCCAGGCAGCGCTTGTGCGGGTGAAAAAAGCCCCCTGTGGATAACTGCTGTTCCACACACCTAACAGCTCCCTCCTTTTTATTCTGCAGACCGAGGAAATGAACCACTCGGCTTGTTATCAGCACTCAGTTCAAAAGTCTGTATCTCAGATGGTATATGGTGCATCAGTACCTGTGAAAGTCTGGAAATGCTCCATAAATGCTGAAAGGTATCGCATTGCATATTTCATCAGGATAATGTTAAACTGCATACTGCATCTATTCCAACAGCATGGCTTTTTACTAGATGAGTCCAAATGCTGAACCGGTCTGCCTGCGGTTTAGACCTTTCACCAACTGAAAACTTTCAGACCATCACGAAAAGTTGCTCTGGCAAAAGTCCAGCAGCTGGTCTCCTGTTGTTGTTGACTGTTGCTAAAAGAAGAGGACATGCTGCACAGTAGAAAACATGGCCCGTTTTGTTGCTGCCATTTGCCATGTGTCTCTGTACTGAAGCCCAGTTTTGGACCCAAAGTGCAGGATGCAGAGGACAGGACATGAAATCAATTTAACTTTAACTAAACCAAGAAAATTAAAGCAGAGGGTTACACAGCACGTGTATAAGGGAGAACATGACAAGGAATATAGACAAACAAGAGGGAAGGGGGCAAAGTGGAGACACCTGGTGAGAAAAGCTGAACTGAATCCGAGCTGAATTGAACATAATGCACATGAGACAAGAAACTATCAAAATAAAACAGGAAATGAACAGTTGACAGATCCGCATACGTGGACTTTACACAGAAACAAAAAACAAATACTGGGACTAAACTTACTACACACATGTCTTTTTGACACATGACACTGAGGACTAAGCACAGATAAGACAAGGGAAGACACAGGAACAGACGAAGGCAAAAATAAAAGGGCACCCAAAGCATAAACTGAACATACATAACCTGTTACTAAAAACTGGGAGGAGCAAATTTGATGCCAAATACTAAATAGGGGTTTATAACACAAAATGCTTCACTCTGCTACTTCACCATATTACACTACATAGCACTACATCTCTGGATAAAAGATAAAAGATGCTGAATGGTGCACATGTAGTAAAGTAACTGTAAAAGGATTCTGAATCCTCAATAAGATAAGAAAAGCACTGTATAAATACCAGCTGATAGAGAATAAGTTGGTGCAAAAACCCCCCACAGATTTATTTTTTTCTTTTTATAATACTGTTTATTGTTTCCCAACACTCTAAAACTTAACTAAAACATCAGGACTGTGAGGTTCAAACTGCTCACCAAAGCTGAAGATGCCCTCCCAGCCAGCAATGTAACGTCCCCAGTAGGGCAGCAGATTCCGGCTCCACTTGGGAAGAATAAACACTATCATGTTGTAGGAGAGCATCTGGGCTATGGAATTGATGAAATCTTGTGTACCACCAGGAATTTCCTCTTCCAGACAACCAAGCCTTGTCTCAAACAATATGGAGGCAATTCCTGAATGGATAAGAAAAAGAAAAGGCAATGAATCTAGCAACAAATTTTTTTCTTAACTTTTAGCTTCCTTTAAACTTTAGTTTGAAAATAATATTTTTTTATTTAGTTCATTAAACAAATATGTTATTTAGCATTCAGCATTTGCAGTTTTAACCATCAGACTACCTTCTAGTGAAAACAGATAAAGCTCATTGGCAATGTTGGTCACAAAGTCTCCTGTTGGGCTGCACTGGCACAGACTGCGCATCTTCTTGGTGAAGTCTTTAACCACATCATTGATAATCCCAGAATACTGGGCCGAGTCCTTCGGATGCAGCATCCGCTTGTTAAGCACCACCCTCAGCTTGTACCACCTCTCTCCATCCCTGTTGGAACAGAAACATGTTTGCACTGAAATAAATAAATCCAAACGCAAACACAACAAAGAGTCTGAACTATGATACACTTATGCATCCATTATGGCTGATTTTCTGCTACATTTTTCCATTCAACCAGTTTTTAGCCTGTAAACTAAAGAGCTCACACAAATATCTAAGCTGGCTGTGGTCTGCAGTTTGTTTGCTACTATGCTTACATGCGCACGCACACACACACACACACATATATATGTATATAAAATGCATAGAAACATTGAGAGAGTGCATCCTTCATTTTGAGCACTATTTTAAACCAGTTTGTCTTGTGAACAGAGTAACCTTTTGTGTTTAAAGTGCAGCACAACAGACAGACCTGACCTTCATTGACTACTTTGATTATTTACTGACTGGTATCTGTCACGGCGAGTGGAGTGAGCCGTGTAGAGGAAATGAAAGAGGATCCAATTACAGGCACTTGCTGAGATGCGAATGTGGTTTATTGTAGAACAAAGGTGGAAATGGCAAAACGGAACAAAAATAATCTATACTGAGACAAACTAAACTATTGAACAGCAAACATGAACACGAAGGAATGTAGACAAAGGTACATGATGGCGACAGCAGGGAAACCACACAGTAGATACGCAGACAGACCAGCAACTACAACAACAGAAGACACGACTTAAATACACTCAGAGAATACAGGGAGATTACACACAGGTGGGGAACACAGCTGGAAGTAATTGACAAGAGGAGACAAGGGAGGCAAACTGAATACACTCACATAAGACACATACTTTCACAATAAAACAGGAAACAAGAAACCATCACACAAGGACGCAGACTCGACACTGAGAGGCAGACAGAATATAACACATGGAACTCAAACTATGCTAAACATGAGACACAAGCGAAGAACAAATCCTTAAACACGAATAAACAGAAACATAGAATTCTAATAATAATCAGCAAAGCACACGAGTCTCAGAAAACAATCCAAAATGCAAAAATAAACTAAAACTTAAATAAGTTAGTTTTAGTTTATAAAATATAAGAAACTCTAAATGCTGGGTCGAAACGACCCAGAACCGTGACAGTATCACTGATGCCAAATTTAATCATTTAACATTTTTTGCCATTGGTGCATCGTTCTGATGCAGTATTTACTGATATCACATTGCTATTAGTGTTCCCTGCATCAGATTTCTTCAACAAGCCTGTGATGAGTTTATTAAACTGTGGCTCTGACTGTTGACCTAGAAAAACACCAGAGTATTACTTCTGGTGTTTTCCTCAAAATCCTCAAACTTTCTTGTAATTTCCAGCTTTTCATAATAATATGACAGATATTGGGTGTGGAGCCCACTGTCTTCAGATAAACAACACAGTTTAAAATCTGCTCAGCCTTTTAGTTTCATTTGATTGCCTAATATGGTGGTTCTCAAACTGAGCCTTTGCAGATGGTGAAGGAATGACCACCATCTGCAATATAAATTTTATTTTAGCAACATAAATAGGTTTACTGCTGCTACAGCACTGAGCCTGACAGAGCTAAAATTAATCCCCTTATATTGTCACCGGTTCATAAAACTTGTGGAGCATTAACATTTTTCTGATTTCTTATCTTTATGGAAGCCTGAGAGGAATCTATTTAACCCAAATAGGTCAAAAACAATCCCTTCCACTCATAATAAAACTCTTTCCCTGGAAATCTGTTACGTATTAGAATCTAAGCAATCACAATGAGATTATTTTTTTAGGTGGGGCAGCATTACTACACTGTTTGGTAGTCTTACTCTGTAAAAGGTCCATAGCCGAATCCTCTCATGTCACGATATTCCCTCCACACACTCATGTCTCCTCTACAAGGGAACTTCTCATCCTTCCTCAGCAGCTCGGCCAAAAGCTCTGGGGTGCTCAAGGATATTGATCTGAGTCCGTCTCTGTAAATGGGCCCATACAGCTGCTTCTCATAGATCTGACGGTGGAAAAGTGATAAAGGTAGAGCTGCATTCTTATAGAATAAAGATGAAGACATTTGGGGATTTTTGCAATGTGTAATTTAAAAAGCAGACATTATATTTAATCAGTCAGTAATCAGATGCCAGAGGTCAGTGTGTGCTGGAGTGGCTGCATGTGATTCATCAGAGAGAGAAAGCAGCCCAAGACTCTGTGTCAGTTAGCTGTGAGACAAGCTGATACTGTCTGAAGGTAACTATGGACAAAAAAGTTATACAACCAGCCCAACATTTTCTATTATTTATTGTCACTGGAGGAAAATGCAATCACTTGTAAACCGATGACCTCTCAGATTATCAAATTTGTCACCAGGGTTTCTGAAATGCATCAGAAAACACAAAACATCTTTGACATCGAACTGAAACAAGCACGTATCACTGTGAGTGAACATAATAAAGATCATGCACTGCAGCCTACCTGAAGCTCATGCATACGTTTATGGAAACCCTGAAACACCACTCTGCAAAGAAACTCCAAGAAGCTGACATGTGGGAGATCTTCCACTGTCTGAGGCTTTTTCTGGATGGTGGAGAGGGCCCCTGAGGCAGGGGAGACCCTTGCAACCCCTCTGGAGCAGACTGGGGCCAGGGAGATAGGGCACGGCAGCAGTGAGCTGCATTTTCTCTTCACCAGTCTACTGGACAGCCATGCAGCCATTATGAGGGGAGAATAGAAAATACAGAGAGCTCCTATTGCATGCAGAAGACTAGCCATAAAGGGAGGCGCCACATCTTGCTAAATGTTTAACCCTTCCAGCCCAGCTCTTAAGGATCAACAAAGACAAGAAGCCACAAAGGACCACAAATGGAAAAATACCAAAACTCACATTTTTCTGCTCAGTAACAGTGAGATGGCTGCTTTTAAGCAAGCCTGACTATAGTGTCAAAGTAAATCAATGACTGTTTCTAGTTACTGAATCAAAAGAATGCTTTTAATTTAAAACACATTTGTGTGATGAGCGAAACAGATGTGAGATCTGATCAACACGACTTTCAGTCTCCAGCAAACATGCTTTGGATACTGCAAGAGTTATATTTTTGTGTGTGTCTCATCTCAGTACCCTCCTACTGTACTGTACAGTGAATACAGAAAGGCAAGCAGAGGTGATAGAGCTCCACTTCCACACCCTTTAATCATACACAACAAAAAAAGACCAGTCTAGTACAGTCAGTCATGTGAAACAGAGAGTATATGCTTCCTTTTCTAAAGTTGCTTCAAAAGGACTTCAGAGGACAAGTAGCAACCAGGTGCTTCTTATTAAATACACTTTATTAACTGATCATTAGTAAGAGTAATCGCCTGTGTAAAAGCAGACGTTTTGGCAGTTTTCTGGTCTGAAGCATTCAGGTGCATGTTACCATAATGCCACAATCTTCCCAGAAGTGGGCATCCCAATTAATTCACCCAAGATCGCATCGTGCAGCCCTCAGAGAAACTGTAAAAAAAACCCTGAGCTCCATCTCAAACTCTGAAGGCCTCAGTCAGCATGATAGTTCATGATAGCACAATTAAAAAAAGACTGAGCAAGTTTGGAAGAGTTGCCAGGAGAAATCCTCTACTCTAAAAAGAGCAGGGCAGCACAGGTTATGTTCAAAAAGCTGCATCTGAACAAACCGCAAAACTTGCAGACCGATGAGACCATACGACCAGATGTTTGATCAGCATGCATAGAAGTATGTTTGGAGATAACTAAACACATTATAGCAACAATGAAGCAAGGTAGTGAAGGGGTGATGATTTGGGCAGCTTCCAGTCTTCAAGTCAACCATAAGGTCCTCATTGTACCAAAGCATTCTGTCACATGTGGTGATGGACATGTGGTGGTGTGACCTCAAAAGAGGCCTAAAACAACAATGTACAACAAAGTGGATGCTAGACTGATAAATAGAAAACAATTATGTTATCACTGCTAAATGTGGTTCTATCATGGGGTGCACTTAGGTGTTCAGAAGCTTCTTCTGCATTTTAGTTCAGTTTTTGTCAAATAAATCACATTGTGTAAATAGGCAGTGTCTTATTTTTCACCTCATTTTAAGGCTTGCTGCTGATTTATATGTGAAAACTATGACTTTAACTACAACTATAACCAGGGCTGGACTGGAACAAAAGAATCGGCCCGGGCATTTTGACTAGAGACTGGCCCACCAGGTATTATAGGAAAAGCCATAAAGCCTTTGAATGAAAACAAACGCTGTTGTCACAGTGACGTACAGTCTTGTTGGTTTATGTATGCTTTCTATACATTTTACATCAGATAAAAACTTTGGTTGTAAGATTCAGATAATTATTTTTAAAAGCTAGACATTTTAAATGAGAATAAGAAAGAAAAGTATTTCTTTGTGCCCCCCTTTCCCTGTTAATGCCCTACCTGGCCCCCTGGCAAAACTTTGCTAGACCCGCCCCTGCACAGTTACCAGCTGTCAGCTACTTAGAAAAGGATCCTGGTGTTATTTGTCTCTCAGAAACAGTTCATAACTTCCCTTCAACTCATTCATGTCACCTAAAAGGTAAACCTGTTTCTCCATCACCTGTTCAGCTCTGATGATTCAGTAAGGACATCTCCTGGTTTCATCTTCATGTTTCCCTCTCACCAGATAACCAAACCGACATCATGACCAGCAGCTTTACAGCTGTGGCTCCAGCAAACATCAGCTGATACTAGAAATTAATATTAAATAAATTCTAACAACAGCTGATCAAGCTTAAACGTGCTGCTGTTGTTTAGCGCGACATCCGCTGGTTTCCTCTTTCTGGCGCAAAGTGGGCGATAAACAAGAGAAGAGAGAAAAGCCGATCAGCTGATCATTGATCAGTTTCATGATTGAAGTAGAAACAGGAGAGGAGGGGAGAATGAAGAGAAGAGGCAGCTGACAGCGTAAAGACAGAATAACTCCAGCTTTGTGTCTTTTTCCATTGTAGCTGAAGTACGGGACAAACTGTTTCCTTCTCAGCTAATTACAAAACGCGTAATATTTTCTCTGAATACGGGAGGATTCCGTTTTTTACTAATTAACCTTATGAATAAAATAAAGTTCACTATCAGTAACATCATAGCACCCACCCAGCTGTATAGAAACTCCGTCATGCTAGCTAGCACGCAGTACGAGTTATTGTAACTGACTGTAAAAAGTCAGCACAACGAAAATAAACTCCACCTAAACTTGGTTTATATCTGACCCAGATAGACTGCAGGTCATAACTTCTTACCTGAAGTTCAGTTCACCTGACACTCGGACCGGCGGCCGCCTCGGGTCTCTTCTCCTCCTCTGCCTCCATCCACCTGTGGCCTGTGGAAGCTCCCAGACCACCACCAAACAACTGAGTTATTTTTACACATCTGCCAGCATCTGGCCAATCCACCACCTTTCATTGTTTATACCGTTACTGAAAAAAAATTAATCATCGGCCCATAAAAACAAAGAAATCACCATCGGCCCATTGGGCAAATGTCCGGTGGGCCGATGGCCAGTGCAGCTATGACTATAACTACATTTGGAAGACAACCTTTCAAGGTCAGAGCAAAGTTTTTTGCAAATTTTTGAGAATGAATCTTTCCAATAAGACAGAGCTTGGAGTAAATGTAGGTGAGGTTTGTGTGTTTGTATTTCCAACATCTAAGCAGTCGCATAAATCACAAAAATCAACTCTCTTATGCGTCTGTCTCATTAATAAACTTAAACTGAAAATATTTTTCCATTTCTCTTTATTTGGGCTTCAGCATCCAAATCCCTTCCAATCCTGTCATCCTTTTATTTGAGCAACATTGTCTATCGATCCTGCAGGGTCCATTTTGTGCAGCAGAAAGTGTCCTTGCACCTGAGCAGCACTGACTTCAGAGTGTGTGGCTAAAGCGTGCTTGGCAAAGTGTTCTGCCTCAGAGGCCGGTTCGTCGGGATAAAATCGTCGGAACATCTGGGTGAGCTGCCAGTGGGTGCAATGCCCGATGTACTGCTTCAGATCAACACGGCCAGGTCGGATGAGCGCTGCGTCTAACCTGTGTGCAGATATCATACACAACGCTGGCAGTTAATGGCACTGAAAACACTTCTTATGTTTCACAAGTGAAAGAACAAGTTTTTGTAGCCATGACAAAAAGATTGTAATGTTCATTAAGGAAGCAGAGAGACGTGAGGAAGATGAGGTGATGAAGATGATCATACAGGCAGGGATGAACAGGTAGGCGTGCACGGATTAATTTAAGATCTGAAGATAAAGTCAATCTAACATTTGATCATGTGATCAGTTATAGTTTATTAATGTATGTAAATTGTCACTATGGATACACTGTCTACTGTGCACATGCATATCAGACCTATGTACTCTGATACTGTGTCACACTGCACTACTCCTTTTTTCCCAGGACACTGGTTATGTCAATCCCTGTACTGCACTTATTTTATTGAGGTAAGCTGCTGTATCACAGTAATATCTCAACTTCACCAGCACTTGGTATGCAGCGCCACCTGCTGTTGGGGTCTTTTATTTTCTTCTAATTCTGTTTCAGTCTCTTCACTGCTTCAATTGTTTTTTTTACATTTACATTAGAAGCAGCTATATCAGTTTACATGTTGGTACAATGTCACTAAACACTCTTGGTTTCGAACAGTACCTGTCTATGAAGTTGGTAGTCATAAAAACTATTCGGGCCTCCGATGAAGCCACTCCATCAAGAGAGTTCAGCAGTCCGCTGAAGGTCAGTCGTCCCATTCCCTGATAGGCCAGAGGGTCTGAGAGGCAACAGAAGAAAACACAGCTCAGTGACTTCAAAATTCACCTTCAAACCAGAATGTAACAAATCTGGTCAAATACAGCTTTACAGGTTGCTTTAGTACTGAATATCAGCCTGTTTTAAAACCACAGAGTGGAGCTGATGAACATCTGTGATGTTTTAAACATGTAAAAAGAAATATGTTTGATCGGTTCTGCTGCTCACTCTCAGTGGGAAGCAGGTCTCTGCTGACAAAGGCTGCATCGACATCCTCCAGGAGAATGATGCTCTGCTGCGGAGCCACACTCAGGAGGTGATTCAGGCGGTCGTCTGAAAGTGTTCGGTCACTCAGACTCATCAGACAGATGCTGTAGCCCAGCTCACCAGCCAGCGCCGTGCTGAAAAAAACAGCAAGTTACACAGGCATTGGTGAGGTTACACGACGAGTACGCAGCAAGAAAAATAAACCCGAATAAAGCATATACTCACATAAAACTGCTCTTTCCACATCCGGGGGGGCCGTACAGCAGGTAGCCTCTTCTGTAGGGAATACCTGCACAGGTGAACAACCACCATCAGTAGAGGATTAATCGCAAAAAACCCTAGAAATTCTTCTACAAAGTAGACAAATTAAAACGTTCGGTAACATTTTTCTTATTAGGTTTTTCTAGAGACCTTCCCTACTCTCGAACAGACTCTGGTAAGGAGTCGGACCAGACCTTCAGCAAAAATCCAAGGGGCATAACCTTTAACAGAAGTGATGTTCATCAATAAAGCGATCAGAAAATCAGCAACTTCAACCAAGAATGGGCAAAGTACCCTGTGAGTAACATTTTCATGATAACTCAGTTGTGTTCCTTTAATTGTGGTGATCAAGACATTATAATCATGATTAAAATTCATGTCATGTAACATTTTACCTCTATCTGTGTACCATTTGGGATTTCCAATGAAGTCCTTCACGTCATCTACAATCCTTTCTGCAACACCCACGTCCAGCACCACAGAGCTGAGGGGTCTGCGCCGCCGAGGAAAGCCGAAGGGCCGCCACTCTGCACCCATGGCCGTGTACATCACTGTCCTGCCTTCCTCCTGCTTCAGCGCCAGTTCTCTTGCTGCAAAACAGGAATGAAAGCTCAACTAAAAGCCCACTCAAGTATTTTGTCAAGTACAGTTAAGTCTGTAAGTATTTTAGACAAAACTTCACAACTTAGCCCATCTACACCAGACACTGTGCACTGAAATTAAGCAATTAAGGGAGGAAACATCCAGACTTCGAGAAGCTACTCGGTGCAAACATTTGGAGGGATGAGCCTGAAATCCCAAAATGTTGATACCGTTCATCTGGATGTAGATGAGCCTCAAAATTCAATGTGATAATTCTGAAAATACATCTGCAATACAGGTGAAAATCTAACTATGTGCACACCTGACTTCATGTGTTGTTAAACTTACCTTCTTGTAAGATATTAAAGAAGATCTGTCTGTCTCTGCCTAAAGCTGTGAAAGTGACAGACTCCCAGGGGGTTCCGGTGTGCAGATCCACCATCTGCTTCTCCCTGGTTCTCTCCACCCTGATCCACTTCCTCCCATACCTGCAGACCACAACGGAAGTCAGTGTCACAGAGAAAGTGGCCAATCAGTTTAGAATACAGGTCTTATAGGTGTAGTGGTATGTGCTATACCAGATGATGTGGTTGCCAGGGCTCGGGTGAAAGTCAAACTGCGTGTGAACCCGTCCGCTCTCGTGCGCCAGGTAGGAGGTCTCCACGCTCAGGTGCTGCGTGTGTTTGGCGTGCTTGGTGATCCAGCTCAGCAGCCAGTTGTAGCTCTTGTCCCTGCTGGGCACCTCCAGAGTGATCATGTAGTGCCTGCGGAAGAAGATCATCCCCACCTGAGCCCCTTTCCTGGCAAGCGCCAGAGCTGTCCCGACCCCGACCAGTCCGAAGCCGGCTCCGAAGTACGGGTTGTCCTTCAAGCCGTCCAGAAAATCCGTCAGGGGCATGGTGACGGCTGCAGTGAGACTCTAGATACCCCCGCAAAAGGAGCTCATCTGAAGACCTGCGTAGTGCAGTAAATAAAGGTTATCGGTCTTTCTTCGTATCCTGACAGCTGCTTGTAGGCTGGAAATACATTTAGCGACAGTTAAGGCTACCCGACTGGCTAAATTACGACAGTTGCGTTGTTTTTTCCCTCTGACTTAATCTCTCACAGCTGCCACTGGTGACTTCATTCATTCTCGTGTTTAAACCTTCATTCAGCCACATAAAATCCCCAAGCGTGCAACGATGCTTCTGCACGGCGACCTTTACTACACTTCCTGTGTTTGATGGATACCGTTCCGACTTTCCACTGGCGCTCACAAATAATGGTCCCCCCTCCTTAGTAATCTATTTTTATGCTCACCTAATTTTGCTAACCTGTTAAGAGAATAACTACGCAACGGTGGTTA